ACATATGGCAGTGTTGGTTTCAGAGTTCACTTTTGTTTTTGTTTTCAGTCTCTCCCTACTCTTGACATCCTCCTTCTGCGTGGAGTCAGATGGGAATGAATGGAAGAGTGCACATTGTTTTCCATCAAGGCTCCAACTACCATTTCCCTTTTCTCGCCATAAACTTCAAACAAGTGTAACAATATGGTAGGAGAGGAATCTCATTAGGCCTCATATCATAGATTCTACAAACTGGATTAAACAGCCATTTCTTTTGAAGGGCAGGGAATAGTGTGTGCCACTGGACAGTTCCTATCTCCTATGAATCTCTGCTTAGTGTTATTAAAAAATTACTTGTACGAAGTGTTTAAGACATGCCTTAGATGCATCATTTCACTCCAGTTCATAACATCCTATGAGTTGGCACTATTATTATCTCAATTTATAGTTGAGAAGCAGAGCACCAAAATGATTAAGTAATTTTTCCAAGGTCATTTGCGAACTAATTAGCCCTGGGGTTTCAACTCGGGTTCCAGCGCCTGCTCTCTTAACCTTGCTCTGAATTCAAGAAAAGAGGTTATTTGTATCCACTAGATGGTGCTGATTGTCTTCTGGTAAAGAAAAAAACTGCCTTCACTCTGAGACACTTCTCACTTTCCTTGGATTTTAGGTGTGATTCAAGAAATCACTGAGCCAAAATATCCTGTATGTTTGAACTGTGCTCGTGTGTATTTTTAAATAGCTGTGCAAATAGGAAAAGTGAAAATTAGATCTCAAAAGAACAGAATGGATTTTTAAAAATATCCTAGCGCATACTATAAATATCTAATATCAAATAACCATTGATGACTTTGAGAGACTGAAAATTCCTGCACATCTGTATTTACATAACATCAGCAGACTTAAAAAGAGGTCCATGTTTCATTCCATTTACCCCTTTTGTACAAACTTCTCTCCCTCCAGCACCTCCCAAGCCTGCTTGGCCACAATGCCATCCGTGTAAGCAAGGGGCATGGACAAGGAAGTAAATAAAGCCTTAAAGAACAAAAATCAGGTTCTGGAACAGAAAGTAAAATACACTTTAAGTATATGTTTAGTGTGTGTTTAGTGTTTGAGGTTGCTGTGAGCTAGGATGACGCCACGGCACTCTAGCCCGGGCAACGCAGTGAGACTCTGTCTCAAAAAAAAAAAAAGTTGATATTCATTGTATACTTTATATAATACAAATTTTATGAGCAATATTCCAAGAAATAATTGCTTTGGGTTCAAAATCCTTAAATTGGCAACTTCCAACCTGTGATTCTGTGTAATATTATTAATCTTGCTAGGAGATTTGTATGTTACATTATTCCAATACTACCCAATAATGTTCTCTGTGTTTTCCAGTATTTGAATATTTGGTGTAACTTATAGTTCTTGTAAACACTTCTAAATTTACTAGTTCTTATGCGGATACTCATAATGATGAGTAAGGAATGTGAAGAAGGTTGGAAATATTTTAAGAATAACTTAAGATTTTGAGAACACCTGGCAATTCTGATTTCCTGTTTCTGCATCCCAAAGATTAATATCTGCTGCGAATTTGGAAACACTACTCCTTGTTGTTGTTCCTCCAATACAAATAATTACACACATACACATACCAGCTTGCTGCTTCCTCTGCCTGAAAAACAATTTCCCAGCTTTTCATATGTCTTGCTTCTTCTCTTTCCTCAGGTGTCTGCTTGCTCAGGAGGGCCATTCCTAACCACTCTTTATAAAATAATATAGTCCCCATCTCCACACTCCCTACCTTCTGTCCCCTCAACCCTGCTTTACTTTTTTATAAGGAGGCAAGATGTCATTATTTAGATTCTGATACTAAACAGTTGGGTGATCTTAGCTAAATTCATAAACTTTGGTGGGCCACAATTTCCTCATTTGAAAAATGAGCTTGGACTAGTTTTGCAGTTCTTAACTCTATTGCACATTAGAATCACCTGGGAGATTTGATAAGCTACTCGTCCATGGCTGTATCTTGAGATCAAAAGAGTCTGAAAATCTAGGGCTGCTGAAACTTCAATGCACAGACAAATCACTGGGGAATCTTGTTAAAATGCTGATTTAGTGTCAGGTGGGACCCAAGACTCCAACAGGCTCCCAGGTGATGCCAGTGCTACTGTTCCATCAACAACTTCTTGAGTAGCTACAAACTAGATCATCTCCAAGTGCCTGCCTGATTCTTACATGCTATGAGGAAAGGCCCCTTCTTTCCGGTTTTTATTTTTGGTGACTGAAGATGTCCATTAAGAAAACAAAATATTTCAGACTTCTTGATGGGTGTGGGGAGGTACTAAGAAAAAGCAGAGCTATGATCAATGCTCATGATTACTGGTGTTTTCATTTTTTAAAACTGTTGTATTTAAAATACATGCTACATAAAACACATATAAAGTAAGTGAAAATAAAAGTCAGGTTCAATACAAACTTTGTATCTTTTCGCTTTAGACATGATCTCCTTCTGTCGCCCAGGCTAGAGTGCAGTGGCATCATCATAACTGACTGCAACCTCAAACTCCTGGGCTCAAGCGAGCCTTCTACCTCAGCCTCCCGAGTAGCTGGGACTACAAGTGTGTGCAACCATGCCCTGCTAATTTTTCTTTTTTTCTTTTTCTTTTTTTGTAGAGATGGGGGTCTCACTCTTGCTCAGGCTGATCTTGAACTCCTGACCTCAAGCAATCCACACGCCTCGGCCTCCCGGAGTGCTAGAATTACCAGGCACTCTTCACTGTTTGTAACCTTTCCAGACTAAGTCTCCATTGATTATATTTTGCATAAATCTCATGTCATCTTGAATTATTTTCTGTCTCTGTAATTCTCACTTTGTTTATTTATCTCCTGCTGCTTCATTTTGTAACCCACTGAGAGGCTGTATGTGTCTCGAGGTCAAGCTTTAATAAATTGTATTTGTTGGCTCACGCTTGTAATCCTAGCACTCTGAGAGGCTGAGGCAGGAGGATCGCTTGAGCCCAGGAGTTCAATGTTGCAGTGAGCTATGCTGATGTGGCTGCACTCTAGCCTGGGCAACAGAGTGAGATCCTGTCTCAAAAAAAAAGAAAAAAAATTGTATTTGTCGTGTATTTGTTTTTAATTTTCTGAAATATTTCTGTGTCAGCTATTGTAGATAACACCCTTAAAATGATTACCATTCAGATATGTCAGAGAGCATCATATTTTACTATGCTGCGTTTTCTGCAGTTCTGTGTTCAAAAACCACAAACGTATTCTAGAAAGTGTTGTGCCTTTCAAAGTAACTCATAAAAATTTCTCCCAGAGTCAAGATATTTTAAGCTAAAATTGTTCTGGTTTCATTCCAGGTTGGTAACATATGGCAGTGTTGGTTTCAGAGTTCACTTTTGTTTTTGTTTTCAGTCTCTCCCTACTCTTGACATCCTCCTTCTGCGTGGAGTCAGATGGGAATGAATGGAAGAGTGCACATTGTTTTCCATCAAGGCTCCAACTACCATTTCCCTTTTCTCGCCATAAACTTCAAACAAGTGTAACAATATGGTAGGAGAGGAATCTCATTAGGCCTCATATCATAGATTCTACAAACTGGATTAAACAGCCATTTCTTTTGAAGGGCAGGGAATAGTGTGTGCCACTGGACAGTTCCTATCTCCTATGAATCTCTGCTTAGTGTTATTAAAAAATTACTTGTACCAAGTGTTTAAGACATGCCTTAGATGCATCATTTCACTCCAGTTCATAACATCCTATGAGTTGGCACTATTATTATCTCAATTTATAGTTGAGAAGCA